CTCTCTCTCTCTCTCTCTCTCTCTCTCTCTCTCTCTCTCTCTCTCTCTCTCTCTCTCTCTCTCTCTCTCTCTCTCTCTCTCTCTCATCGTCGTCGTCGTCGTCGTCCTTCTTCCACGGTTGATTGAATATTCCACTCGACGCTTTTTATCGGTCGGACGCCGGTTGAATATAAAAAAATACAAATTGAAACACGGTGATCCCGTTATCTCGGAAGGAAGGAAGGAAGGAAGCGGGGGGGAGATCGCGCGACATTGCCGGTTAAAAGCGAGGGAATAATCAGGGCGCGTGATCTCTGTTATTAAACACAGCCGCGGCGTGACTCTGCTTTCATCATCGACGATATCCGTGCCGATCTCCTTTCATTAAGCGTACGCTTTTGAAGCGGGACCGACGCGTTACGCTCTCGACCCATCCATTCTCCGTTCCATCCTCCATTTCGCGCATCCCCGGATTTTCTTATCAACTTTTCTACGCGTGTAAAAGAGGGAAAATGGTTGGTGTTTATTATCCTGGATATCGTTTCGAATTATCGAGCTAATCGCGTATAATCGATTTTATTTCTTTCAGAACGAATATCCAACGATATCGTTATTAATTTCATTTACGACGATATTTTTCTCGTCGAGTGAATTAAGAGAATCTTGATCCAACAATCTTTTTCGCAAGCTCGCGTTTGCAAAATTCGTTATCGCATAGAAGTAACGCGATTTGATACCGCGTTTAAATAAAAATTCCGCTTGGTCAAATAAGATAACCGTTTGCGTTATTTTTGTTTATCCTCCTGTACACCGGCGGGAAACAAATCACGCGGAAACGCGCAGTTAATGCGAAAATTCCTCTAGATATATTTTTAATAACGAAATTACAAACGTTGGGGGAGGTGAGGGAGAGAGTAGGAAACACGAATAGGACCGTCGCTAATTTATTCTCGCTCCGAAATGCCATGCATTTGAGAAGAGCGCGCGGGTCAAGGAAAGTTTCGCTTTAATTCGCCGCCGCTTCGTTAATTGGAAAAATACGGGTGACATTAAACGCGCGCCGGACGATATTAAAGCGTGTGTACGTTCGAGCCTCGATTCTACTCCTTTCTTTTTATTCTCTCTCTCTCTCTCTCTCTCTTAGGTGGAATTAATGTAAATCCACAAATCTAATTCTCACGCGCGTGTACGAGCGAAAAAATCGCGCGTTCCATTCCTGAATGTACAGTCGATCGCAAAAGTGTCGTGAAAAAATTTTCCTCGTCTAACGGGATTACATAGCGACATTGCTGCATCAATATTTTATAATTTAAAATTTTACTCGATCCACGTTCCATCGTAGAATTGTATCGCAAGAAACAAAGGAAATATATCGATATATTTTAAGAATCGATATTGCCATTTTTCTTGGTCGGAAGGTCGATGTATTTTCGAAACCGTGATCTTTTATTTTCCCTTGCACTCTTCAAAATTAGCTTCTTACGTTCTGTCTGTACAAATCTTACTTGATAAAGGAAAACCGATAACAACCTTTCATCTTGAAAACGCGTTCGATCAAATACTTGATACCCTTTCACCCTGGGTAATATCGATTTTAATCGATAAAGCGGCCTACTCGACCTAACCTCGAACCTAAACTGCGCGAAGATTCGGTCGTCGTGAACGTTATAGTTGGGCGGAAATGAGTTGGCGTCATTCGAGGCATTCTTCGCCGGATAGCCGGCCAATAATTCGACCCCTCGCACAATTTCCGCGATTTCGCGACCCTTTCGCGTCAACTTCGATAATGTAATGCAAATACATCCGCCACCCTCGTTTCGCGCCACTCTCCCCATCGATACGACGAGAGACGGACGCGTACGAGAGATGCATGACTCGCCATGATGCAATTATTTCCGCGATAAAATTGGCGCAAAGGGATCAAACTTCGGATCGCACAAACGATGTGTCGCCGCGTCTCTCGTGTTATTCGCCTCGTTCGATGGATCCGTTTATTTTGCCGGAAGGAGATTTTTCTTTTTTCGGAGATAGAGTAGAGTGAAAATCGAGTTTAGAATAGGGATAGAGATGAGTTGGATATTCGGAGAAACGGGTTAGTTTCGAGTATGGAAAGTGGATTAACTCGCGAAAGTGTACAGCAACAGCAATAGCGCGAAACGAGAAACTGGATAATTTCGAGCGATAAACCGGGAAACGTTTCGTTTATTTCGTTTTGTCAGTGGCGAGAAGGAAAGGAAAAATATATATATAACGATATCGAAATAATTAATCGAGCACGGTTTGCGTACAAACGAATGCGTCGCGATTATATACGTTTTCTTTTTTTTTTTTTTTTCCCTTCCTTTTTCCCTCCTCGTTCAAACGAGTCGCGTACAGTCGGAGCGAGCATCGCTCACGCGATATAAACGCAAACACGCGAAATATAGCCGGTCCCAAAAGTGTCGGACTTTAAATCCGCTTTAAACTCGCGCGAGCCGCCGCCGCGCATTCAAAGATTTGGCGGCGCGTGCTGCGAAATATGCATGGACGATTATTGAACGCGCACCGGTCATAAATAGGGAGCGGCCGAATTTTGATTCGGATAAAAGAGGATATATTTGCCGCTCGATCAATAATAATAATAACGCCTCCCCCTTTGCCTACAATGTTGTTGATCTAACTTGTGTCCCATCTCGTTTCGATAATTGCTCGCAACGATTCGACGCGACACCACCGTCATCATCGCTATTTACGACGACCGATTTCGTTCGAAACACGCGTGCGAAGACGTTAATAACACGATGCTTGGCAAAGTTTAAAAATTTCATACCTGGCTCGTGAATACACAGAGCATCTCGTTTCCGAATAAATAACACCGTTTAATTGAAACGTTCCACCCACTCTTGCTTCTGTGGGAAACGAGAAGCGAGAAGAGAGTGTATTTTCGGTATCAGCAATTTCACGCCCGCGGTCGCGGCGAAGCTGGGGCTATATATTTTATTCGGTGAGGGAGTTGGGCGGACGAAAAATCATCGGGACATTTCGAAGAGGGAGGCTCGAACGGCCGACGTTTTTCGAGGCAATTAATGCCGAAGATCGACAAACCGAGCGAGCGGGAATTGATGGAAAAAAAAGAGGGAGAGAAAGGGGAGGGAAAAAAAGGTCGCAACCCGCAGGAAAAACGCGCTCGCCGCGGAACGCAAATATACGCGCGGCCGTTTGAAAACGCGCGTTTGCGTGTTCGGTCGATGGTGGGTCGACCGCTTTTCCCGCCCGATTGAAGCGAAATCGAAATTGCGGCGGGTAAAAATTGGGCGTGGGGAAATTGTCATCGATAAACGGGCGCGAGTGGATCGGGAGAGAATATCGGATCGAAAAAAATTCGAACGAGACGGTTTCGGCGTGTCAAGAATACCGAGCGAATCGATCCTTTCGTACGTACCAATTCCGTTTAAAATATATCTTGTTTAACTTCGTTACAGATACTCTCTTTCAAAACTTTCTTCCATTGAAATATACCGTTATATAAAGATACTGTAGATAAAATCCACGTGAGTCGAAACACGGTGAAGTGTAAAATCTGGAAAAAAAAGAGG